CCACCTATGCCAATTTCTCACCCTACCTTACCAGTTTTACCCGGCCCCTCATCTAGACCAGCTCCTGTCAACAATACCTTAGAGGACCTCCCCTCTAACATCCCGAATTTAAATTCGCCTCATGGTGATACTTCATCATCTACTTCCACTCTGCCCCAATACTCCACTTCTTCTCTTAAAGTTCAATCCCCAAATAAATTTGATGCCTTGAATTTAATTGAGGATGATAATGACTCTACTGCGGACGGTTCCAATCTTGCTCTAGACAATACTGCCAGAATCAGAGAAAAAGAGAAAGACAAAGAGGTTTGCCAACCTCCTTTGAGTAAGCCTAATAAGAATGCTAAGGGGAAGCAAGCCAAAAAAACCCCTGCTCATCTTCGCTAATTATGTCAGTTCCATCAATTGCCTGCTGGAATATTAGAGGTTTTAATACTCCAGATAAGGTGTTTTGTTGCAAACGTCTGATGACTTCCTTCAAGTTAGACATGCTTTGCATATTGGAGAATAGGATTAACATCTCCTCTCTTCTCAGCCCTTATTTCTCTGAAGCCCATTCGATTTTTCCTGCTGAAAAATCTTGCCACAACTTCAATATGTCTGTATCAGGCAGAATATGGATTAAATGGAACTCAACTAAGTTAAACTTCACCCCCTCTATTGTTTCCCCCCAGCTTATTTCGGGTCAGGTGGAATGTGGCTCCTCTCCCCCTTTCATCCTATCTGTTATTTATGCTGACAATAGTAGAGATGGGAGAATACCCCTCTGGGAAACTATCAGGAGATGTGCTTCTTCTATCTCTTCTCCTTGGATCATTATGGGAGACTTTAATTGCTATAGATTTGCTTCTGAAAAATCAGGTGGTAATCCCCTCCCACACAGCTATTTGGGAGAACTGAATTCGGTGATTTTTGATGCTAATCTCACTGAACTTAACTCTGTGGGCAACGTTTTTACCTGGTACAATCAAAGACAAGCTAATCCTATTCATATTAAGCTGGATAGGATTCTTATCAATGATCACTGGGCTTCTTCTTTCCCTAACGCCTTCTACTCGGTGCAAGCTCCTTCTTGTTCCGACCATTGCCCGTTAATTCTTCAGTCAACTGAGACTTCCACATCCCATCATCGTTTCCTTTTTAAGAATTTTTGGACCTCGATTGATAGTTTCTGGTATGTTCTGCTGGATGTTTTTTCCGCTGCTGCTAAAGGTAATCCTCTTGCAGATTTCTGTGCTAAGCTCAGGTTGTTTAAAAGAAGTCTTAAACTTCAATCCTGGGCCAACTCAAATGCTATTCAATCTCAATTAGACTTGCTGCACTGTAAGCAACTCCACTGTTTACAGATGATAGACTTGGATCCTCTTAATGTTGCCCTCAATTGCAACCTTAAGATTGTTAATCAACAAATTTCTGAGCTCTCTAACTATCACGCCTCTTGGGTGATTCAGAGAGCCAAGGCTTCTTGGCTCTCTCAGGGGGAAGACGATCTCAAGTTTCTTTATGCTAAAATCCGTAGTAGAAGAGCTATGAATAACGGTGCTATCAATTTGGCTGCTTCTTCCAGCTTGAACAGATCGGAGTTTATTTCTGGAATCACTAACCATTTTCACACTCTTTATAACCCTTCCCCCTATGAGGATTTGAATATGGAATACTTTCCCCTTGGTAATACTTTACATCCTGCTCTTGCTGCTTCACTTACGGTCTCTGTCTCTGATGATGAAATTAGGGGTTCTGTCTTTGATGGTGCTGCATCATCATCTCCTGGACCTGACGGATTCAATTATCACTTTTACAAACGGAGCTGGCATATTATTGGACCTTTGGTTTGCAAAGCTGTCAAATATTTTTTTTCCAAGGGTCTTCTACCTGCTGGCATTAAGGCCACTGCTTTAGCTTTAATTCCTAAAAATAAACATGCCTCTTCTTTTGCAGATTTTAGACCCATTGCCTTGTGTAATGTGATCTATAAAATTATCTCCAAAATTCTTGCATCTAGATTAAAACCGATCATGCCTTTAATTATTAAAGATACGCAAGCTGGCTTTATCAATTCTAGAATATCTACGGACAACATCATTTTAGCACAAGAAATTCTCTCTTTTACTAATAAAGGAAAGAATAATTTGTTCTGTGCCAAATTTGACATTCGTAAGGCTTTTGATACGGTTTCAAGGGAATTTGTTTTGGCTAGGCTTGAACAGAAAGGAATTCCTGCTCTTTTCATATCATGGGTTAAGGCTTGCATTTGTGATGTTAACTTCTCTGTTATTGTTAATGGGTCTCTTGAAGGTTACATTTCATAGCTGTATAAACCTTTTGATATGTAAGTAAAGTTCAAAAGTTTTAGTAGAGCTTTGTATTAGCTTTAATTATATTGATGTTCAGTAAGGTATATTACATGCTTCCTATTATTAAGTGTGAAATTTGATATGTTGAAATCCTTCTCTATTATACTCTAGTTTGGATGTTAGAGGGTGAGCCAAACTGGGGTGTGACACTGAGAATGCTATGCTGGTTAAAAGTGAACCTAAGTTCAAGTTCAATCATCCTTGAATAGACTGAAGTCGACACAAACTGAACCGTTGAACAAATACACAGTCATAACATCGACTGAAATATCTTATTTTATGCGTTCATTTTTATTGACGAATATTTTCATCTCGACTCGACCCCGATCGAGCACTACTGGACTCGATCGTACTCGATCGATTCGATCAGCCGCAAAAAGATACTACTAAATTATGGTCACGACCAGAGCCCATATGCTCTCCAATGTCTCTAAATCCTTGAGTGAGCAATGAATTAGGATAATTAATAGGGCATAAATCCCTTTGTTAGCTAAAGTGGGCTGAAATCTATCTCTTTAGGCAAACATTCACCCCAAGTCTACAAGATATTCTTGGATGACGTAACCCATGGCTGCTGACAAAGATCCTTCAACCATGTTGGATCAACTACCTCCTCTAACTAAATAGACTAGGGACCATGAAAGCCTGGGGACGACGGAACTATGGGATCTTGATTGGGATTGCACCATTCCCCCATCACCTGCTTTAAGCATATGGTGACAAACTCAAAGCTTAAAAAACACTCAAATCTATTTTTAAAACCCTTAAGCTGCTGCTATAATACATTGGATACTCAGTGTCTATAAAACGACTAGCCTTAATTGAAAGTGCTCTTTATTATTGGGAGGGATAATTAACTATAGGGTTTATGAATATAAGAAACTATATCTCATATCATAAAGTCCTCACGAAATGAGGGCGAAATCTCTAGGTAGTATCTGATCTAAAATCTAATATGTCTTCTGAATTTTTACTCAAAATCTAAACTGATTAAAACTCTCCCGTCGATAAAAAAAGAAGCGAAGAGGCCTGGGCGAAAATTTTCAGAGCCCATATGAATGCATCACATTTGTGATTTTGAGAGCTTGCAAATTTATACCTTGCGTGAAAGATGACAGCTACAATGAAGATGGGAGCACCAATTTTTAATTTCCTTTTCCTTTTTCTTTTTTATCCTTCTATTGTATTAATTTTTCTCTTTTAAAGAGAGTAGGAGAAAGGGGAGAAAGAGAGATAGAGAGAGAAAGAGAAGAGTGAAAAGAGAGAAAGAGTGAGAAAGAGATAGGAAGAGTGAGAAAGAGAGAGAAAGAGAGAAAAAGGGTGAAGAAGACTGATGAAGAATGAGAAAGAAAGATAGAGAAATAAAGAGACAAAAAGAAAAAAAAAATAGGAGGGATTGTGTTATAATAGGCTAGTGGCACTACGGCATCAACTGTGAGCATTTGATGGGGTGCGATGACAATTAGGGCTGCAATGTAGGTGTCAACGCGGTGCATTCGAGCTAAGATGGGGGAGATGTTCGGGGTCCTCAATGTTTGGTTCAATGAGAGAGAGAGAGAAAGAGAGAGAGAGAGAGAGATAATGAAAGAGAGATATCAAGAGTGGATGAGTCAGAGTGGGTGAGTTCAGTTATGGGAGAATGACTGAGAGAGGGAGATTAAGAGATAAAAGAGAAAGGGATCAGAGGCATAAGGGTGGGGTATGGGACATGTGGATGTGGTTTATGCATAGGATGTGTGGCCAACAAAGCATGCTATTATTTTTTTCTTTTTTTTTCGGTCAATAGTACTTTCATTGTGAGGATTTCAATTGGTGGATTTCAAAAGATGTTTGAAGTGCCTCTTGAATTCCAAATTCAACCACCTCACTTCTTGGCATGCCTTAAAAAACAACAATGTGATTTGAATAAGCATAAAAAGAATAACATCTAAAGCTATAATAGAGGTTTCAGAATAAAAGGAGGAACACGGTTTTTTAGAAGATGAGAATTTTATACTGCACTGTCTATATAATATCAAATTCAAAAGTATGAAAACCTAGTAGCATGCACAACTCTGTATTAATTGATCTATGAGATGTCTAACTTGTGTGCTTTAGAGGTTACCTTGTAGGTGTTTAGTTAGTAATTATTTTTCTTTATTGTCTCTCTTGAGTTATTTTCCATCATTTATTATGAGAGCATCTCTTTTCTTTGTTAAGAGTGAATTTACACCAATTTTGAGAATGTCGTAAATCATTTATGACTAGCCAGTGCCCGTACTTTTAGTGGATCATATCTGCTCATTTCCCATGGACATAGACAAATATTTACTGAAGCGAAAATGATCAAAATAGTTAATTGACTCTTTGTGAAGCACCAAAATGGTCATCAAAAACTTAAATGTTGTTTATGAAATTATTATTTAAACAACTTGGTGAAGCAAAGAGATAAGGATTTATTGATAACATAATGTTATGCCAGATGTTGGTGAACTAAACAACTGAGAAGTAAGAATTGATACCAAATTGATTGCTTAAATGACACACACCTTGTTCTTGTTTCCTCAATATTATGCATAGAATAAGCATTTGGACATGTGCATGCAAAAGCATTTGCATAAAACAAGAAAGCAATTCAAAGATCATGAAGGCATTAAGAAAAAATACCCCCTTAGACCTTCTCTGATTCCTTGAGGACTTAAATCATGATAAAAAGCATCCCAAGTGCACCAACCAAACCAATCTAGCATTCCCGGCATCTGTCTCAGTAGTGAAAAAGGAACATATTTTATTTCTCTGCTTCATTAAGAGAAAAACTCAAAAAGAATTCATTAACTTTGATTGTAAGAGATTTCATAAATTATGATAATAATAAAAGTTAAAAAATTTGACTAGCCTGTTTATTTTCACGTGGTAAAAAAGTGCCCTTTCTCTCTTGCAATATTCTGCATGATAGTTCAATTTAGGATTAACTTCTTTTAATTACATAAAAACCTCGAAGGATTTGAAAAAGGAGCGAGGATGACTTATTTATGAAGTATATGTTTATGGAAAAGAACAAAGGGACTTACTTTATCGACTCTTTCACAAGGCCGTAAGGATCTTCCCCATAGTTTACAAGAACTGCCTCAAGGAACTTAGATGACTTGACAGAGGGATCCCCTGAGAGGAAATGGTTACCATGTGAGGTATCAACAGTTAAATTATGCATTAAAAAACAATACCTACCAATAGGAAGCATGCACGGTCTGCCTTCAAATCCTTAGCATAAAATTTACTTATAAGAGCATGATCTATAGGGTTGATCTCTACCACTTTCTATGCAAAACTCAAGTTCATTTGAAGAGTTCCCTTGTAAACTGCTCCTAAACTGGCCATCTAACACTGGTAAGAACAAAATGTAGAATGGTAGAGGTTTATTAGCCTGTGGACTACCATCACCATTAAACTTTGCTTCTAAGAGTAGTAACTGCGTCTCTGTTGGGATATCACTTCCTGAACGCCCTATTCGAGGTATCATCCACCATATGTTAAATCTGAACAAAGAAAGTAGTTTGAAGTCCCTGCATCCAAATCCATAGTGCCATTAGATCTGTCTTATCAAAAGCTCTTCACATCTAAGTCGGTCAAAAAGAGAAAAAGGCAATCTGTACAGGAAACATTTAAACATGCAAGCAAATTGAACTGGCCAAGCATTGTAACTCGCTATACGCAGAAGGCTTCCTCTCCAAAGTCAACTTTTATGAAGAATAGTGATCTTGCATAAACTACAGCGGTATGATACTTTAAGGTTAAGCTTCGTACCAAAGTCAATTTTGATAAAGATAATCAAACATGCATAAGCCACATCTAACTTGCTCAACAAGAAAAAAAGCAACCTGTAAGTCAAGCATTTAAGCATGCAAGCAAAGTAAACAGGCTATGCAAACACAGGAAGCTCTCAAAGTCATTTTTCATGAAAATCGTCTAACTTGAAAAAATTAAAGCAGCATTTTGGCTAATTGTGAGGCCTGTCATGTTATAACTTGGCAAAATAACCTTAGTTGGAATATCAAAAACAGAATGTCCAATATTCTAATCCAAAATCCAAATTACTTTTATACGTTGAATTTGATTTAAGAAGTCCAGAAGCTTCTTCTAATGACAAGAATAAGACACAAAAGAAAAGAATGGCAGAATTTACTATATGCACTTACAAATAATTCATCCACTAATAACACAATGATGGAGAAGGATTTCATAAAATAGTGTTTAGTTGTTTTGTGCCTTCAAAGGGGCATGCATGTTTAGTTTTATTCAAAATAGCCTATAACTTGGAATCAAATTGATCATCTTGGAAAGTTAAATCATCATCGGCCAACAGAAAAATTGAATTGAATCACATATACTATTCAATTTGTTTTAAATTTAGAATTTGAAACTGCAAAATTTTGATTTAGTTTAGAACATCCGTTGACATCATTGTTAGTAAAGAGATGAAAATCCTATGTAGAGGACTTATGAATTAGTTGCATGCCCGTTACTAATAATGATGCATAAGAAGGAAAATTAAAATTTTGATTTTTAATCCACATGATCCTGATACATGATACAAATACTAAAATTGCTGGAAAAAAATTTACAGCACACTAACACCTTATAAGATCACTGACAGTTGTTGCAAGCGTCTAACAACAAAATTAATTCACCAAACTCTTCCAGATGACAACTGAAATGATAAGGCGAGACTGCATACAACTCTAGCTCCTCTGTCTTCACGCACTTTCAAATTGATAGCTTCTATAATTTCCATTGCTGGTGTTAGAGCTCTTAACCTAATGAAATGGGTGTGTTTTCACTCTCCTTTTTCCCATTCGCATGATATCTAAAGTAGGATCATACTAAAGAAAACATTTAATTAAAAGAATCAAACCAAAAAGGAAACTATGATCAATTTGGTTTATTTTATGAGTAGATTCGATTTCAATTTGTGATATTGTCTAATATAGTTGTTTTGGTCTTGTTTAAATTTGTCTAAGAAGCTAAATAAAATCTATTTGAAGCGAACTACTGTAGATTAGGTAATACAAACCAAATAATTATAATTAGAAGGGGTGATCTTCAGATTGTAGTTTACAACATCTTTTTATATTTTAATTTCTTTGCAAAACCAGTTGAAACTGAGCAACCAAATAAAAACAATAAAATTAAAAACAACATAGTAAAAGAAGTCAAAGTATAGTTTATATATTTCATGATGCGGAGCATTGTGCAAGCAGGACGGAACAGCTTAATTTCCTATGCAGGCGGAATAACATACCTAGTTGCTGCTACTTTAGTTAGTTAGTTATGGTTATGGAGTGTGCCACTTACCACTACACATAGTATTATTTTTATTTACACAGCACATCATATACTTTTTAGCTGCTTTACCCTTTTTAGTCTTTTGGCTGGTGTTAGCCTTCTTATGCGGACCTGTAGGAGTTTTCTTCCAGTTTTTTTGCTAATTTACAAGTTTTAGCTCTGCAACTCTTGCAAGCTTACTGTTCCATTGATTTTTCTGCATTGCTTGTGCCTCTACTGTAAGATCCTACATCATTTCAAAATCTAAATTGAGAGCAAAGGGGACTGAATTGTGTGTTTCAATTAAATTAAAATTTTTGTTAGATTTATGTTTCAAGATAGATAAAAGGAGAAGGGATAGACCTCTAATTACATGCATGGAAGTTAAAATGATTTGAGAAGAAGAGATTCAACACCTAAGGTAGTTCTCAACACAAAGGATTTGAAAACTCCGATCCAAATAGTTGGGATAATGCTGCTGCTGATGATAATTTAGGCTTCACGAAGATCTATTTGATTATAATTTATAATATAATTAAAATAAAATAAAGCCGTGCATACCCCTTGCTTTGAGGACCAGAAGCAATTAAAAATACCCTCTCCACAGTAGTCTTATTAGATCAGTGCTTACAGCAAATTCCTCTTTACAGCGACATATTTTTAACCATAAACACTAAATTCCCCCACAGAAATTCTGCAAGAATTCACATAAGATTTTTCTCCAAAGCATATGCAGCAAATATAGTTTATACTGAACATGTTAATACACATTCCTTTCCAAACATGCCGGAAGGAAAATACCAATCAAATAAGATTATTCACCTTCCTCAGGTTGCATCCAAATGAATAAAATATAAAAACATTTCAGTGGAGACTAAAAGCACTTGAACATAGCAAAAAGCATGAAATAGCAAGAATTCAGTCATGGAAACCATCAGAACTTACTTAACAACACCTAGCTTGAAGACATGGCGGCTGCTCGCCTCCGGTGAGACTGCTCCCAAGAACAGCGACTCATTCGAAGAAGGCTTGACCACGACATTCTCTGGCACACTCAAGAGTGCCTCCCTTCCATTGATCCTCAACGCCCCATCTTTTATGAATGCCTTAGTGGCCTGGCTCATGGAATGCTTCCATAGTTCCCGGAATCTCAGGCGCCCGTTGTTCAGGATGATACCATTGGATTTGGATGGCAAAACGAATGCGAGGCTTGGTTTGAGATGGAGTGAGTTAACAGTAGAACAGTTCATTTCCATCAACAAGAGGGACGAAGAATTAACCGGACTTTGAGAATCCCACTTTGAAAGACTGGAATTCTACAGCCTGTCAACAGACAAATGAAAATACAGAAGAATACTGCGTCTAAAATCGTGAAGAAAGCTGCTTTGCTTTTTTTTTTTTCTTAGAAGGATTGGTGTGGAAGGGATTCCATGAGATTGAAAAGCGTAGATGAGGCTTCAATCGGAGAAGATTGGGAGATCAAGGATTGGGTGGAGAGAAGGGGATGGAGACGATAGGACTGCCAACTGCGGAGTTGGGAGAGAAAACGACAAGAGTAAGATTAGAAGTTGGCTTGCTGTAATTTACGACCCTATAAATTGTTCTTATTTTTAAAAATGAGAGAACGTTTGTGATTATTATTATTATTGTTATTATTTTAAAGTAAGTTTAAGAGATGATAAAATACGTTTAATGAATCATTAGGAAAATAAATTGAATTGTTTAATATTTTAGAAAATATGCTTTAAATATCTAATAAGGGTAAGGGTGTCAAAAAAAGGGTTGATTGGTCGGATTCAGATCCAACTCGGATCTAGTCAAGCTAAATCTGACCAATTTAATAAAAAAGTCAAGAAGACCAACTCGAATCCAACCCGCTAGCAACCCGAATAATCCAAATCAGATCCATTAATCCATTTTAGTTACATTTTTTTAACTAATTAACTTAAAGTTTAAGATATTTGATAAAAAATAGGAAGATTATACACAAAAGTAAAAACTTTAAAGAAAAAATATTAAATGGATCATTTTCGAGTCAAAAGTGTGTTCACGGGTCAATCTGAACCCTACCCTTTTAATAAACTTGTAAAAAAATCTAACCCGGTTATTAACTGTTTATTAAATAGTTAACTTGAAACTAAATTTTTCTTATTAGATTCAGATCACGCCATTTATTGACACCACTGAAAAAGGGATTGTTTGAAAACATTTTTTACAACTCATCAAAAAAATTTTTTTTTTTACTTTCTTCCTTGCCTCAAATTCTTGGCCCCAATAATCATGCTTATTACCTTCAATAACAAAATATTTCTCTCCATTTTTGTGCTCACCATTCTTTTGATGTGTGCTCCTCTAACTGAGCATGACTTGTTTTTAGGAGAAATTATTATGAGCAGACTTCAGACATAGCTCTATGTCTGGACTCCAATTAAATTAAGACACGTAGATTTTTTATGACTTAACAATCCGACCCAGCCCAGCTATGAAAATTTTGAAATCGTGGAAGCCCACTCGTTTTTTATGTTTTTCAAAAAGAAATCCACATGCTCCCAAATATTTATAATTTTTGCAAAATAAAAATTTTGGTATATGTTGCGAAATAAAAAATGAGGAAGAGACTATGAAGATAAAAACTAATTTGGAGGAGGACTTTGCATTCCTTGAGCAGATGATATGCCCATAGGATGCAGAGTCCAAAAGGCAATAAGCAAATGTCCATAAAGAGAAAGTCTTGAATTGAAAAAATTGCAACCATGGGGGTCCAAGTGGGCAGCGCCCCCTGGACATTTGCATATCACCTTTAGGACTTTGCAACCTATGTAAATATTATTTGCTCGAAGAATGCAATGTCTTCCTCCAAACCAATCTCCACATTTATCGCATATTTCTCATTTTTTTATAAACAGACACCAAAAGTTCTATTCCATAAAAATCCTAAATATTTGAGAGCTTTCGCGAGTTTCTTTTCAAAAACTTCAAAAATGAGTGGGTTGTCATGATTTTAAAATTTTGATCATTGGGCTGGGTCCGATCATCGGGTCATAAAAATTCATGTGTCTTAATTTAATTGGAGTTCGAACATAGAGCCATATCCGGAGTCCACACAAAATAATTTCTCCATTTTTTTGTGGCTACTCTTGTAGCTTCACTTAGTTTTCTTTTTTTTACTTGTAAATTTTTTATGCATGTAACTTCATTTTTTATCAATGGATTGGATTTTTGTGCTCTATTTTGAAGTTTTTTTGGTCTTTTTTTGTGGTGGGAGATGACGTCCCCGACGACATCTATCCCAGCTTTCTCTTCATTCCCATCTGGTAATTCCCATTCCTTTAAGGATGTTTTGGCGGGTTCATCTTCGTCTTCTGCTAATATCCATTTTGTGTATACATCCATTAAGTTTTTTTTTTTGTGGGG